GTTTCATGGTTTCAAACTGTTTTTTGGTCTTCTTGATTTCTGGCTGAAAGATCTTCCCAGCAGATTATCTTGTTGAGGATTTCCAATGATTCTTTTTTTAATCTCACAGGTGGAACAACTTGACCAACTGGTCACAGAAATGGCTGGTTTCAAAAGTCACTACATTGTTACAGGGCAAACATACAGCCGTAAAGTAGACTTGGACTGTCTATCAGCTCTGAGCAGCCTAGGAGCATCAGTTCACAAGGTATTATCACAACTCTGTGTAATGCAATAGGAATATAGGGCAGAAATACATTAGAGACATTTTAAGCATAGGAGAAACGTCTTAAAATTTAAGAGGAAATGGTGTTTATCTTTGCGTTCTCAAATTTAATCTTAATTTTATGAGAAACTCTTTTACTTACAAGTGTGCTCAACTATGGAATAAACTTCCGGAAGATGTCAAGATGGCCGATGATGTTAATGTTTTTAAGTCTAAGCTAAGATCAATTCAGCTGCAATGTTTTTATATATTTTTTTTATATTTTAATTTTTTTTTTGAGTGTACGTAGATTATAGATTATGTATTTAAATTTCTTTTTTTTTCTTTTTATACTAGATTTTTTATTGTAATTGTAGATTTAATGCACGTTCGTATTTCGAACGAGCACTTGTGCTCCTAGACGATAACGTGGTTAAATAAATTATTGATTTGATTATTGATTCATTGGTTAATGCTGTACTGTTAAACCTTAGCATTTTAGCAAACCTTTAGTTATGTTTTAAAGTTGCACAGACAGTGACTACTGGAAGCCAATTCACAATGGAAGTGACTTAAGCAGCCGTTGACGTAACACTGAGTGTAGTGAATCCTTTAACCTGATACTTTCAAACTGAAACTGTTGTTCTGTTTTAGATATGTACAGACATCAGGCTTCTAGCAAATCAAAAAGAAATCGAGGAACCATTTGAGAAAGATCAAATTGGTAGGTATACACTTTAAGTGTTCCTAGACATTAAATGAAAACTAGCTCTGATTTTTGGCTAGCTAGAAAATCTAAAAAGACCTGAAATCCCTTATTCCTAATAGATGTCTCAATAACTGAGAGAATTTTTTCATGGCAGATTTATTTTAGGTCGCTGTAACACTCTAAATAGATAGACTTAGCTAGTTAGCGTTCTGGTGCATCACTTTGCCGGCCAGATTTTCATTTGATGGTTGTTGTGTGTTCAAGGTTCCAGTGCTATGCCTTACAAACGGAATCCAATGCGGAGTGAAAGATGCTGCAGTCTTGCGCGTCATTTAATGGTGCTTGTAGGAGATGCACAGCAGACAGCAGCTACGCAATGGCTGGAGAGGACACTGGACGATAGCGCTAACAGGTCACTACACTGATATGATGATTGCTTCATGAGCGCGCATTTCAATCGATTATTACAAAGATAAAGCTAAAGTGATCACAAAGTCTAAGCTGGAAAAAGAAAAATATTTAACTTGTTGAACGAGAGTCAATTTTTACGTTTTTTAGGCGGGTGGAGGCGAATTTAAAGAGCTGGATACGCGAAGGGAGGAGCGCTAAAAGGTTCCTTTTTTCGTTCTTCCTCTCGCGTGTGTCTCGCCTCTCGCGCGTTTCTATCTGCTCGAGCGCGCGTCTCTCCTTGTATGCGCGTTACGCCCCTCGCGCTAGGCAAGCGCGTCCGAAAAACGCAAAAAAAAATGGTCTCTAAAATTTTGACTATAATTTTTTAATCTCGCAGGAGAATAAGTTTGGCTGAAGCATTCCTTACAGCTGATATTTTGCTTAGTACATTGCAAAATGTTTCAGAGGGTTTGGTGGTTTATCCCAAGGTGAGAACGAATATTCTAAGCAAAGCTGTCGCATTGTAAATGATTTTTTTGTTACATTAGCCTGAAATTAAAAAATACTTAGGTTGATATTAACAAGATGTACAGTTTGACTTTTTTTAACCCTTAAACTCCCAGTGGAGATAAAACTTTAACTTCTCATAACAATGTCGATACATTATCCAGAAAACAAGTGCTGAGAATTGACAGACTCGTCAGCTGAAGAGCTTTAAGCTTGAGAGCAGACCTTCATTGTGACTGCTCCCAGACGCGCGTTTTTCCGCCCGCGGGAAGAATTGAAACGAGGCGAGGAGAGGTTTGTCAGGAGTCTGGTACCTTGCCTCATTATCAGTGCTCTGGCAGACCTCTCGCCGACTCGCGTTGCTGAAGGCTGTGCCTTATACTTTCCTCGGGCGAAGAAACACTCGTGCCGAAGCGATAATAGTGAGGTAGGCTAGATAGTTTTATTTGATACAACACCAAATAATGAACTTATTTACTTAGTAATGTGGGAAGCCAGAAAAGAGAAAACTGATTAAACCCAAGGGGTTAGAGGAGTTGGAATTGTTTTAACATTTCGTCCTTGTTTTTGTTGTTGTTGTTGTTGTTGTAGGTTATTGATCGCCATATTCGACAGGAGTTACCTTTCATGGCGTCTGAAAATATCATAATGGCAATGGTGAAAGCAGGGGGAAATAGACAGGTTCGTGCCTATTACCAAGGTAAGGTGGCGGAAGATGCGCGCCCTGGGTTGCATTGGACCCCACTTCCTTCCCCCTCTCTGTTGAGGCATAAAAAAGCACCTGGTTATCACTTCCAGAGTCGGTACAATGTTAGGATAAGACCTCTTGAAGTGTTACTCACCCCTCCCTCCCCCCACCTTCTATTTGACTGCTGATACATAAAAAACTTTTGATTCTCTTGCAACCTTAAGCTTTCAGTGAGCTGCTACAGTGATTATACTTTAAACGCAATTTGTTCTCCTGCTTCAAAAAACTCATGGAAACTTGGTCGATAATGACATTTTTTATTATAACATCACCAGACGACATTCGTTTTTAGAAGGACTAGAAGCTTTGACGGAAAGTTCTACCGTGACAAGTTACTGTTGTAAATAAAAATATATTCTCTTACCAAAACAGATTTTACGACGAAGTCATGCATAACTTTTTTCCTTTCTAACTTTTTTAAGAAGCCTGCTTTCAATCGATTCTCTTTACTTTTCCATCTGACAGGAGTGTCACGAGAAGATCCGCGTTCTGTCCCAGGAGTCTGGGGCGGTTGTCAAGGAGCAAGGTGGCGACAATGATTTGGTTGACAGGATCAGGAAATGTGAATACTTTGCTCCAATTCACAATCAGCTGGACGTCATCTTGGATGCTAGTACGTTTGTGGGGCGTGCACCCCAGCAGGTTAGAAAAGCCTTGTTTTTGAAGGAGCGGAATTTAGAAGTAAAAAGCTATGAGGGGAAAAAGGGGAGAAAAGTAATCCAACCTGCTGAAAGTCATTCGATACACGTTTTTTTTGCATTCTATTTTTTCCTGCTCTTGATATGCCTTGCGATGGTATGTGAAATGAGAAGTTCAAATGCCTATCAAGTCCCAGCTCTTGCACAGAATTTAAGTTAAGAAAATGTATGCCTTTGTGATTAAAAAATCAAGCTATTACAAATTGATTGTCATAGAATAGTTGCCAATAAAGGTGGGGTAAACAATAGGGTAGACTTATAAGAGTTACAGTTCTCCAAATGTTATGGTTCGACCACGATTGTTCTGAACGTAACGGAATATGCCTCGAATACAGCTGGGCAATATCCGTTGCCAAAACTGTCGGTCTGCCCTCGAAAATCTTGGAAAGCTTTCAGTTTGCTTCTCTGAACAGAAAACTTCCGCTACAATTATCCAAGCATATTGAGCTGATTCGATGCTGTTGCTTACAAATGCGCTGGGCTTAGGCGAAGGAAAATATGATTTAATAGGTCACTATTTGGAGTAGTCTTTCAAACGATCGATTGAGTTGTCGTTCATGTCTTAGGTTCCCCTTAGCCTCGTTTTAAAAGCGAGTCATGAAAGTCATTCCTTGATTTGACATTAAGATTATTTTCTGTGTGATATGAAGGTTTGCTAAGAGCGACACGGAAATGATCGTAAATTAACGGGGCATTTTGGGGACCAATCACAGAGCTCAGATGATTTTTGATTCTTTGGACTCCCAATCGACTGACAACCCATTGATCAACTTAATGGCTGAGCCTGATTACCCAGAATCAATTGCGCCGAACTTACACTTTATCCCATTTTCCCTGCAGGTGTCCAAATTTATTAAGGAAGAAGTCGAACCGGTGTTGATTCCTTTCAAATCGGATTTAAGCAGCAAGTCTTCTATCGATGTTTAGGATTTTCTCTTACATAGGTACTCTTTCATAGCTTAGAAGTTTGTTTTTTACTTAGTTTGTTTGTATTTAAATTGTATGACCGGTGACAGGCGAGTGACATTGCAGCGTGCAGTTTAGTAAGTAGCTAAGCAGCTCCAGGGCACTTAAGCGTGTAGTGCTCGCAGTCATGTGCACAGTAAGGTCTGCGGTTGTTGGCGTGCTGTCAAGCGTGGACTTGCTAACGTTCAGCTATTTGCTCGCCGTCAAGCGTGCAGTAAGTTAACCTCGTATGCGTTAATCGTGCAGTTATTCGCGTGAAGTAAAGGGTAGTTTAAGTAAACATGGCTGGAAATTCATGGCTTGGAGGTTTGTTTCATTGTGGCGAGACAGAAGCCATTGTCATGCAACCTCCATGAACTAAATTTTGGCAAATAACGCTTCACTGCATGACCATTTGGAAAAGGATTGTTGGAAAGTTCTCATCACTTGCAAGAACGATATGCAAGAAAGATGTGATAAAGCTTGTTGTTTCTTTTCATTTTACACAGGGATAACAAATCGCTGGGAACGCTCAGACAAGTTGCTGCAGTTTTCAAGTCTGTCCGAAAATAGATAGCTCAACTCTTTATATAATATCAAATTGAAAAAGGTGCAGATTTTCTCTGTGAAGTTGCTCTTAAAGTATACGTACATGAACAGGAGGCGGTCAACCCAATGGGCCATGTTACAAGCTATGTACAAATCAAAAAACTTCCCTGAAAAGGGAAATCTTTTCGGTGCGATAAGGTTTTGAAGCCACTGAGGAATTGAAGGAACTTCAATTCATTCATGAGATCTGTCACGTAAATTATAACTGTGTTAAAGCTTGAAATAATTTGAAATTTCACCATCGGTCATGAGGATATCTGCGGAGTCATTCTGAAATAAATATTTGTGATTTCGAAACAGTCACTACTTGATCCTTTTTTGCGAAGTTGCCCAGCGTGATCGCAAGTGTTGTGTGACTAACTGTGACTGTTGTGGTACAAAACCTTAAATCTGATAACTCTAAATGAGCTGTGGTTCTTCTTGGGAAGATTCTTCCGGGATGGTCACGTTACCTTCTGTAGCTTCTCTGTCGCATTTAAAGAATTCCACAAATTCTTCCCAAGACAACTGGCCGTCATCATTTTTGTCAAACATACCGATGAGTTCCTCTGCCTCTTCTCTACTCAGCTTCTCGCCGCTGTTACATACAACGTACAGTAATTCATCCGGGGATATGTAGCCGTTACCGTCACGGTCGAACTTCCTGCAACACGACAAATATGTATGATATCAGCAATTTTGTTCCCAGAGTCCTGTGTTGCGAAAGAAGACGTCGGCGAAGTGGTCGTCACTTCGAGAATAGGGAAATCGGAAAGATTGCTGAGTAAACAATTACTTAGGAAAGTTTTAATGCTACCTCTTTAAGGATCGATGGAAACAAAATACCGTCATTTGAGACTAAGTTGCGTGTTTTTTACCTTTTAATAGGTGATTTGAAATCTATATCAAATGCAGGTCTCTGCGTCAAAGGTGCTCCTTGTGTACAGCTTTTACAACAAGTCTACCAAACGCGTCGCGATAGCTAGTCACAGCTACAACTCGTCTTGTGTGCTAAGAATCATTTTCGTGAAAGATTTTGTTTCTGCTACAATCGTTTCTCATGGGAGTTAATTCTACAAATTCAATGGAATTGGAATTGGAATTCTCGCGACTGAACGCATCGACAAAATTCGATCTGTCTCTGCGAAGTAGCGCGATCGAGCCTAGCGTTTGTAGGCCTTAACCGTTCCATATCAATGTTCTACCACTTAAGAGTTGCGCGTTTCACTCTTTTTCCAAGACGACATATGCCGATTTTGCTCCATATCCGATCACGACTCGAAGTAATTAATTTCTGTTGTCACATCTTTCGGGGCTGTAGCGAAAATTTTTCGTTTTCTGTGTTTATCTGTAACAAAGTTTGATTACAAAAAGAAACAAACCTACATTCCGTCTTGCACACAGCTTACACTGAAAAATTGACAATAATGACTGTTACAAGAGTGGAAAAACATAAAAAGAAGCTAATATGTTTATTGTCAATTTCTCTCAAGAGCTTTAAAATGCAACGAACGTACGTGCTGTCGTTGAAAAACAATAATTTTAGTTCAAGTGGATAAAAAATTGTTATCTAAAATTAAAAGTCACGTAGAAGTTTTAATAGATCGAAACCTGTGCAGTGCGTTTCATGGCTCTCAATTCGTTGTCTAGCAAACAGTGATGAGACTGATGAACAACGCCATTAGATGAAACTTATTACCTTGGTATATTAACAAATTCTCCGCTCTGATTTTCGAAGAAATATAAGCAGCTGGAAAGGAGAATTTCTCAATGGACCACGAAAGTTCAAGGGTAAATGCAAATAAGGTATTTCCAAAGATGTACCTGTTTAGAATTTATCAGATAAGGTCAAATGAATCAGGAAGGGAGGCAGTTGTAGTTGAATTCGCTAAATCACGTTTGTAGGATGTCTCTTTGCGGGGGCGATTCTTTCTAAAATGGGAGGTTGTACGTTTACATGGAGACTTTGTATTATTGATATAAACATGTCCAATCTAAAAGGCTTTTTTTTCACGAAGTTGACCGGAGTTGTGGCTAACATTTTGCGCTCTACTGATTAACGAGGCTCAATATTGAAAATGTTGAATAGTGTATTTAGAAGCATCCTGTTTTGCAAAATAATACCATAGGGTTTTCTTTCTTGCCTTTTAGCCTTTTTCATTAACATGCAGAGCCTATGGACTGTGAATGCTCTCAATATTGAGAAGAGTATTTTAAAATAAGTCCGGTGTGGGTGAGTTATTTCCTTCCGTTTTCTCTTGTAACAGAGAATACCCTTAAATGAAAGTTGATTTACGATGCAATATGTTTTTTCTTAGACTTTGTTATATGATATCGAGTCGGGAAAAGATGTTGATACTTGATGTAGTAGAAATCAAATATCCTGCCGCGTGATCTGCGACCAATGAGAGCCTCCCTGTTTACGCTTCGCCGCTTATATTACAGATCTATAGCATTTTCGCCACTGCAAGTAAATGTCGCGAGAACAATAGGCATTCTGCCCAATGATAGATTGGACTTCTGGTGTGGACTTCGGACCATCGGATCCAAGTTCAAATTTCCGCATTTAACACAAACAAAGACATTATAATCCATTATAATTACAGATCTTTCCTGTGTGAATCGAGGGTTGTATATTTTTGGAAATTTCGTTCACACTCTGGCCAATATACGGTCCGCTTAATTAACACGTGTAATATTCACAGCCAAGTGTGGCAAGGAAGCAAACGATACTTTACGAACTCCTGGGATCAAGATTATTCTTATTTTTCATTTTTTCGTAAAGGGGGTATATTAAACTTTACATATATTTATTTACCTCTAGCTGACGTGGACATCTTAAGAAGCGAGCTAAAAAAAGATCAACGAAGCGTACCGTGGTGAGGCTATTTTTAACTTCCAAAATTTATGATAATAACAAAAAACCCACGGCAAAACAACATTGACAAATATAGATCGAGCTTTTGTGGCGAACTTGCCGTAAGCAATAGGCTCTCTTATCTACATCGTGTAGCGGTTCTTGAATGGAAAAACAGAGAATTTAGATCTAGGGGAAGATCATGATTGTTATATATAGTCTATTGCTTCGAAAAAACCGTTATGTATATTCGCTCAGCTAAAAAAAAAAAATTAATTTTTCAAAACACCGCATGAAAATAACGAGGAATGTTCCAAATATATCTTTTACTTTTTCGTTTCTTATATATTTGTTGATGTTACGATGAAAACAGAGAACTTGTTATAAAATATGTGGCGTCGCTGTCGGTTCGTTGATTTAGTTTTTATGTCGAAAAAGGGCTTAGAACATGCAAAAAAACAAGCATCTGGCGTCCGTTCGGCAGGTGTAGCGTAACGACGACTTGAAATCGTGTTTGTATGTTATTCGTTTTTCTCCATTTTTCTCTTAGCTTTCGGTTGAGAACAGACGAGGAAGAGAAAAAAAGATTTGAGGCAGAGTTGCACAAGCGATTAAATTTTTAAGCAGGTTTTTAAGCCCTCTGCGTCCATCTCCGTGCGTTTGAGCTATTTTTGTCGTCTGGTTGTCGAATTAACTATTCAGAACGAAACTAATGTAATCAGATGCAACTTGCACGTGAAACTTTACTATTTATAAATTTTGTAGCTAAATTCATGCGCTTCTTCGGTAGTCATAACCTCGTAAATGTCGCTTTCCAAGCGGACAGTCTATGAGGACAATTTTTTTTTCCTAGTTACACAACCAAGGAAAATTGGAAAACGTATGAGAGCAAAATATTTATTTTATCCATGGTTGCACACCAACTCCTCTGTCATCTATACATTTTAATCTAAATTCTGGCTGTCTAAATTTGCTGGCGAAAAATAAATCTCTATTAGGGTGTTGATAGTTAAAATCGGTATCGCCCGCCGTTTTAAAGCTCAAATGAGCTAAATGTGAATTTATAATCAGAGGCCTTACATTGGTCGAGAATTTTTTTATAGACCTTCCATTCGTCATACAAACTTTTAAGTTGTCAAATTTTAGTGCAAGCTAATTTTGGTCCAATCAGTCGATCGGCGCCAAACGTTAAATGCAAAATGCGAGTCTTCTTTGACATCCAGTGATGAGTGATCAGAAGCTGAGCTATTCGTTATAATTTTTCCAGAACCTTGGTAAATTGGTAGGTTTTTATTTAGAATATTTAAAATCGAGGTGGTTTTATGTTCCTCACGGCTTGATTTTGAGTTGAAACGCAGCGAGCGAAAGTTTAAAACTGTAGTAAAATGTTGAGCTGACGCGAAAAAGAAATCTATTCCACTTGGCGCGCTATTAACACCGTTGTTTTGGGCATATTCTGTACACGACTAAATCTCCATGCAAATAACAGCAACAATTAAGGGAAAACATTTTGAAACTGTAAGAAAAAAAAAACAGAAGACAAAGTTTTGCTTACTAACTTGAATGCTTCGCGGAGTGATTCCTCGGCGTCCTCCTTCCTGCATTCGTTAAACTTCCCTAACATGTCTACAAATTCATCAAAATTAATTTTATCTTTTTCGCCCTTGTTGGCAGCTTTGAGCACCTCGACCACTTGGTTGTTCGTCGGGTTGAAGCCGATGGCTCGAACTGCGTTTGGAAAATCTTCGTAACTTATTTCTCCGGTTTTGTCATGGTCGAAAACTTCGAACGCTGCTTTAAAAGACTGCACGTCGTCCGGAATAACAGTGGCCATTTTCAGTCGAAGCGCTGTCTACCACACTTCTCGCCCTAGAGGAGGAGCTCTCAACTGCCTGAGCGAAACATCAAACACCGACTATACCAGCTGGTTCAGTGATCCTTAAGTTTTGCTCCTCATCTGACAACATTTGCAATCTATTATTTTCCTCCCAATATACAGAGGCGCGCTGATTGGCCAAGCTAGGCACGCGGGCCAAGTGTTAAACGCGCAATGACAACAAGGCATTCTTGTTCGATCGCTTCTTGGATCAAATGGTCATTTGCATCAGCGGAAAATACTTCCTAGGAAATGCGAAAAATAAACTGATTGCCGTGATCAGCTGTGACAGTCCGATGAGAAATATTTTTTTGAACTTGGTACACTTTGATAGGGGAAAAATTTATTCACGCGGGGAGGAGATTTTATTTGTTTATGCAACGAATAGTACTTCCTCATTTACAGTTCTATAGTGTCTTTTTAATTAAGCGGAATTCTGGTTGTAATAAATTAATCAGTTCTAAACTTGCTAAATGAAGTTATACAACCGTGACCTAATTTGGTAGTAACCTGCAAAGTTTCCTTTCTGTTTTGCGAATCATAAAGTTAGTGTTGATCAATAAACTGTCAAACCTGAGAACGAAACAGAGGCACAACTCGCTTGTTGAAGCGCCGATGTTGTCACTTAGGACTCGAGCTCTATTAAGCGAATATCTCACCATTATTTTGTCTGTGAATAATTCACAAGGATGGCTCTCGCCTTTTGTTTAAAAATCATAATCAGGTTATTTGTCGAAGGAAGAATAATATTTTCGGAATAGTCGAACATAATGAGGTTTGTTTGGTACAGCAAAATATTTTTTCAACGTCTTTCATTTCAAAATTTTCAGTCGCCTCCTTCATCAACACGTATTACAATAAACTTGATGTTGAATACATTCAAAACCCCTGTCTTATCTGATTTCTTTTGTCATTGAAAGGGAGGGTTTGTGTAAAAGTATTAAGTAAACATTTCTATTTTTGTGTCAAGCGATTAATTACGTCTATTTGCCTTGCAGCAAAGTTAGGATGACCAAATTCTACTTCCATAAATCAAGCTTTATTTTGTCTGTCAGGTTTACAGAGTGCTTTTTAATATTGCCATATTCCCTCCGTCGGGGATTTTAACATATGCAGTCATGATAGTTCTATTTTGATTAAATTTGCAAACTCTTTTGTTGGAATTTTTTTCATTTTCCTGAACGAACTCACGGCTCGGTGTGAAATTTGTCTTTCAGCTTTTAGTTTCTTCACACCGCTTTTCTGAACTAGAATTTTATTAATGTGTGGGTTTTATTCGTTTTTTTTTTCATGACAACTGTAAGTGTGAGGCAAAGAGATACGAGGAAGGACTTTGAAATTAGATAAAAATCTAAGTGATTGTTCACCGAAAAAGAGATGAAAAAGAAAAAGTTTAAAAAAAAAATTTCGGATAGGTGGATTGAAACAATAGTGATCACTTTTAGTTTAAACTTTTGCACCCTGCTAAATATATTTCATAATTCGATGACCACTTGTCGCAAATTGTCCGACAATTTGCGACAAGTAGTCGGTGGAATCATCGGAAAATATCCTCCGAGCCTACAGAGAACAAGTGTGTCAGCAGTCAGTATACTTACTAAGCTGATTATCATAGAAACTGCATTTTCTTTCAAACCATTTTTTTTCTTTATCCTCAGAAACATTAACAACTTGCGCGGCGGACAGTTTGAAATTTAGTGCTTCAGCTCTATGATCACCTATACGCGCGGTGGCCATCCACCAATCGGACGCGCACCTCTTTTTAATCAAAAGATCAGTTAAACCAATCATGATAATAAACTAGCAAAAATATACACATAATTATTGCCTGAGAGCCCGCCAAATAATACCTAAAGGTGCAGAAAGTTGAAACATGATATGTATTTTTTACCAGTCGCAAATTTTATTACTCGCGCAGTTTGGTGTAAAAAAGGCTCTGTTAAAATTTTGAAGGAATGGTGGTCTTCGAACAATTTGCTAGCTCTTATCTTTTCCAGAATGCTAAATTTCATGTTATTTCTTATACATCAGCATATTGCGATAGTTGAAGCCTTTTTGACATGATTTGCAATTATTGTTTTTGATGTGATACGAGAGAACTCTCACAATTTCGTTGATATGTCCAGCAGAGAGATTGCATACCAGAGGGAGATCGCTGTTAGGGTAATAACACGAGATATTGCGGTAGTTGATGCCTTTATAGATTAGTGTTTTAGTTTCCTGCGTTTATTAAAAGCGCTCTTGATAAATCGCTTCAATTATCAGATAGATTGGAATCTGGAGAGTGATTGATGCTACGACTATCAACTGCGGTGGAAAACTTTAAAATCCCTAGGAAAAATCTTTGGTAGAAACATCTGAGTAATAATGAATAAAAT